GGCTGGAACTGGACCTTTCAGGTCGTCGTTCTCATGGCTGCTGCTCCATTCGTCCTCCCCAACGGCCGCGTCCCTGTCCTCCACCGCAACCTGTCGCCGCCGCCCGTTGGCGCGACGCGCCGCACGATTTCCACATCCTCGGTGGTTTTCAAACAGAGAATTCCTCCCGTATGCTTCTAGAAGACAGGGATCGAGGATCTCAAAGGTCAGCCGTGATGTGGCCGTGTAATTAGGTTTTAGTAGTAAGATTCTTGCTTGAAGGTTACGGATGTAATTAAGCTCGTGTGCAGAGAAGCTTGGGAAATTGGGGCGTGTGTCTCCATTTCCATGTGCTTGATTTGGCCTGGATCTATGGCATGTGGTTCGAGCATTTGACCGGATCTATGTTCTTGTTTTTCTACAACTTCGTTGATTGCTTTTTTTCATGCAAATTTTCGATCTGTATCTTGAGAAGTCATTTTGACCGGAGGAAACTGTTGTTTGCAGGTTCCATTTGCTCGGGGAGTTCGACGAGGTGAAGAGGAGCTGCAGGAAGCGGCTCGACGGCCACAACCGCCGCCGTCGGAAGCCGCAGCCGGATCCCCTCAACCCTGCCGGCTTGTTCGCTAATCACCACGGTACTCCGTCAATCTCTAATATTCATATTTCCTGTTAATAGCCTTCTTACACCACGTGGAAACGATGCATGCGGCCTAGAAAGTACTGCCTCTGTAACAAAATGTAAGACATTTCTTATGCCATATACAAAACCAAAAAATGTCTTACATTTTGGTACAAATGGAGTACTCCTTCCGTCCCATGAATATTATGGGACGGAGGGAGTAGATTGTAAGATCTAGGAGCTGCAATGAGCAGGAAAGTTGAGATTTTTGGCACTCCCATTTTGTCGGAAACAAGAGAAAAATGTGATCCATCATGTGCTCCTAGTTAATTACTCCCCCCGTCCCATAATATAAGAGCGTTTTTGACACCACACTATTGGCAAAAATGCTTTTATATTATGGAACGGAGGGAGTATAATTTTATTCTGAACTTTATCCTCATTTTGTTTATTTAGACCGTTTAGAGTGTTTCCCCTTTCAGTTGACTGCTAGTACTATCCAGAAAAACACTTCACACGTGCTTGCTGAGTAAGTAGCACAAACTTTTCTTCTTTCCGAAAAGGATGGGAACAGGAGGCTTGACTATCAGTATGAACATCTTGCTGGTGTAGCAGACCAAGATAGGTTTTCAGTCTTTGGCTGGCATCATTTCCAGGAACTTCCTGTGGGATCCAAAGCAAGGGAATATCTAGGCCTGAAGTTTCTTCTGAACTTTCTGCCCTGATACAGCCGGTATTCATGTGAAAGCCAGTTAATGATGTCACAGTGAATTGAACACCTATGACATGATGAAACCAGACCAGTAGTAGTCTACTAGTAGCACTCCTATACCTGTGAAGATTTTTACATGAAATTTACCATGTTACAGTTCAGTAGCAGGGTGGATGCACAGGGAATTTACAGCTTGTTTTTGTAATTTTGGTCTTTTGTTTTTTCTATCAGTTGGTCGACATGGCTATTGTCATAGGTTTGCAACGCTGACGGCCGAACTAACTGTTAGCTCCCGATCGTTTTCCGTGAACAGGAGTGACAAGATTTGCGTCGTACCCGCAAATCTTCTCCCCGACGTCCATGGCGGAGCCCAAGTGGCCCGGCGGCATCGCCGTGAAGACGGAGGCCGACGCGTTCCACGAGCAGTACTACTCCTTCAGCGGCGCCGCCTCCCTCTTCCACCACGGCAAGCCGGAGAGGAAGCACTTCCCCTTCCTGACCGACGGCGGCGGCGAGGCCGCGTTCGGCTGCCAGCCGCCGGCCTTCACCATCACCCCTTCCTCGGAGAGCAGCAGCAACAGCAGCCGGCACAGCAACGGCAAGACCACCATGTTCGCCCACGACGGGGGCCCGGACCACAACTGTGCTCTCTCTCTTCTGTCAGACAGCCCGGCGCCGGCGCACATCATGGTCCCCGCGGAGGCGCATCATCTCGGCGGCGGCGGCGTGACGATACAGTACGGCGGTGGAGGCGGCGGCAAGGTGGCGCGGCTGTCCAGCAACGGCGACGTCTCGCTCACCGGGCTGTCTTACGTGAGCCTGGGAGACAAGGGCGCGGCCATGTTGCACGCGTCTAACAGATCACAGCACGCCGCTGCTACCGCTACCACTGCCGTCACTACCAGCACAGCGGCGGCTCCGGCTGCATCCCAGCTCCAGCAGCAGTACCATGGATACTACCACCACCAACACCAAGTGAGCGCCGATCAGGGGAACCACCCGGACGCAGGTGGGATGCACGCCCTACCCTTCTCGTCATGGTAGTCGTCTCATCAGTCAGACTCAGATCCTAGGCAGTTGGTGTTGGTTATCAATCATCAAATATGTCCAATGATAGTGTTAGCCCTGATGATCCGCATGAAATCACCCAAGATATGTCCATTTTGCAACTTCTCTTGATACTCCTAACTTATGGAAATTCCCCCTGCTTATGATTCAGAATTGGACTACGACGATTCTATTTTGTTGTATCGGTTGGTTTGTTCATTTTGGCCTTCGTGCACTTGGCTTGGTAGGGTTACACCAGCAGAAAGTACAGGGGGTTTGAACTGTACTCGACAGTGGAATTGGCATAAAAATATTCAGGTAGTTGATTATTCTAATCACGCGTCTGCCTGTTTCTCACATGTTGTGCATCAGAAGAGATATTGTTCAGGAACAGTAGTTAGATTATCCAGGATTATGGGCCACTTCCATAGCCTGGTTCTAGCTAGGCGCATATGTTTTCAGAATTCAGATAGCGACACTCTATCTTGTGGAACTGTGCTTGTTTGCAAGTACTCTTTGTCAAAAATTAAACAGTAAAGTTCATGTTGAAGATGTCGCGAATGGGAGTCCACATAATTCGTTTTAATTCCATGTTCTAGGGAGAGTGATTGTTTGAGGATATAGGAGGTACCATATTGACAGGTAACCAAACAAGCCAAAGCTACTGCCGGGTAAATAAAGCTGTAGTTTTATCATACCGCATGACGATAATAGTTATCAGTTCAAAAACTGTGGCTGAACAGATCTTATTGGTGTAAGCTTATGCTCCATTGCGCAAATTGTTGTAAGGGTGTGGCTAAATCTCAAGTCTCGGTCAAGTGACAAAATATATTAAACGGAAGAAAGAAAAAATTAAAAGAAGATTTTGCACAGATTTCAATGTAAGATCTCATGAATAAAGCATCGACTGAGATTTTGTTAAGTCTCAATTAACTGTGTTTTGACATTCCCATTATTGTAAATGTAAAGATACTGAAATCTTTACCAGTAACCTATATGTTGTAGTACATCCTATCTATGTTAATTGTTGTTGATCTATATAGACTTGTACTAAATCAATGATAATTAATATGGATTGGAGAGAGTAAAATTTTAGGAGGGAACCATATAGATTGTAGCCGGCTAACTCAGAAGTGCTTCAGCCAATGTGGCAGAGTTCGATGCCGACCAGACGACTATTTATTTACAGCCTAAAGCAGAATATGATGAAATTATTTGAAATACTTATTATTATTATTATTATTATTATTATTATTATTATTATTATTATTATTATTATTATTATTATTAAACAACTTTTAAGAAGTTCGCAATGTCCAGAAATAAAACTGAAGTGTCAACCAAGTCAGCGGAGTTTGATGCCAACTAGACAACTTCTCATTTACAGTCTGAATAAAACAAAAAAAATTGTTTGAAATATTTATTATTATTTCGAAACAACAATTTTTAAAGAGGTTCGCAACATCCAACAATAAAATAGAAATGTGAAACATTTTGAAGCTAAACGGATCTTATTTGTGTAAGCTTATGCTTCATTGCAAAAATTGTTGTAAATGTGAAGAAACTGAAATCTTCACCAGTGACCTATATACATAAGATATCCTAACTTTCTTTGTGAATCGACTGTATATCGACGCATTTTGATATGTTTGTTGCTTATTTGATTATTTCAGTATGTATGTAGTTCATATTGAAATATTCAAAATATCTTCTATTTGTAAACAGTGGGAGTAACATTTAAGGAGGGAACCCTGCAATTTGGAGCAAATTAAATTAGTGGTGCTTTGACCAAGCAGGTGGAGGTTGTTGCCAACTTATTTACAGCCTGAAGAAAGACAAGATGAAATGATTGCAAACTGTTCTCATTATTATTTTGAAAGGACACTTGTAAAGAGGTTTTCGACATCCAAAAAGGAAGTAAAATATAAAAAAGTTTTAAAGATGATCCCAACTATTATGAATCGTTCATTATTTTTCATCCAATGACCTCGATCGAATGTGATGACCTATTACCTTCCACAAATCAATAGATCACCCATGAGGTAATTGGCCATATTTGGTAAATGTTAGCAAAAAGTTATAAAAAATATTAATAACATATAGTGCATGATTGACTAAAGGAAATTATTGCATTCCTAGTTAATATGATTGAATTCATTAAATGTTGCACTTTATATCTGGGAATATTGTGAGTTCATAGAAAATATGAATTCTTTTATTCTTCCCATAATATACTAACGTTTTTAAAACACTTTTTAAACACAGTACAAAACACTTATATGATAATGTACAATGGTGAACTTCATGAATAAAGAGCATGTAAATAAATACACTTCTCGTTTTACAAATTTTCTTTATTCTGTATTTGATATGAATTATGCCTAAATTGTTTTTAAAATTCCAAAAATTAAATCAAGATCTACCTTTGAAATTTCCTCTATATTTGTTATAATTCATGGCAAGTAGTAAATAAACTTGAAATTGAAAGATCTTGACAAAAACCCAAAATATTTTCGGTTCTTATCGGCACATAAAATGTGACAATGTGTTATTCTATAAACATTCAAATATCTTTTTTTTCCTGTGTATCTCTCTCTTGG